TGCTTTTGTCCAACTTTCTCTCTCTCCTAGTCTTCATCTGCCCCCTCCCTCTGCTTTGACCTCTGCCTCTATTCTGCTCCCTCCTTGCTGATTGGCCCTGTGCTTTCTGGAAACACACATCTCCCAAATCTTGCAAGAAAGAATCCACTGATCTGGCTTGCTCTTCTCTCTCTTTATTTCTCTTTTTATTTCTAGCAACCACTTCAGCATGAATAGCATGTGTTATGAAATCAGGCAGCGTCGCAGTAGGCAATCCAACAAAATTTCTCTTTATCCATTCAGAGACTTCTGGTCTTAAATTAGCCAACATCCCTTGTTTAAACTGTTGATCCCAAATTACACGTTCCGCTGCATTATTGTCTCTCAACCCACTGTGTTTTCTAAAAGCTGTTTCAAACCGCACTCTAAAATCTACTACTGTCTCATCCTCCATTTGTCTTACCTGAGCTAACTTCCCATAGTCAGGTAAAGTTTTGAACATTTCTCTGATTTGAGTATGTAGAGTATTTAATCTATCATTAATGAGTGGGTCTGCTGCAGGAAGAAGCACAGGTGGGTTTGCATTATCATTTGGGTTATAGTGTTGTCTTACTCTTGTCCAATCAACTCCCATTTTCGTCATGTAAATGTCCCTAATTTCAATTCCGTTAAGCCTATACATGTCCACCAGTTGTCTCATACCATCGCAAAATCCATCTGGGTCTTCTCTATGGCTTGGGACACTTTCTGTGGCTTTAATTATGTCTGCTTTCGTCCAAGTACGAAAGACATACATAGTAGGCAAACTTCCAACCACTTGTGGATCATGAGTGGGATTTGGGACTTCTATCATTGGGAATGCATCTGCACCTCTCTCTTGAGAAGTCAACCCTTGGACTGAAAAGGTTTCCAAATTGTTTGCTCCACGACGCGTTCATTGGAAGCCGTGATCTAGTAGCAACAGGTGTTTTTACATCACAGACTTGTGACTGTGCTGCTGCTTCAAGCTCTGCATGTGGATACAAACTATCCTGCAGTTTTACAGAATTATCTGGGAATAGATTTGTTGTCTGTTGCAGTGGGGTATATTGAGGTGGTGCCGCTGTGTATTTATGAGCCTGTACTACAGCCTGCTGTTGCTGCTGCTGCTGCTGCACATGGTGCTGCTGCTGCTGCTGCTGCTGCTGCTGCTGCTGCACATGGTGCTGCTGCTGCTGCTGCTGCTGCTGCTGCTGCTGCTGGTGCACATGGTGCTGCTGCTGCTGCTGCTGCTGGTGCACATGGTGCTGCTGCTGCTGCTGCTGCTGCACATGGCGCCTCCCTGCCTGGACCAAATTGTCTTCTTCTGTTGTAAAGGCAACTAGGCTGGTTTCACTCTTCTTCTCTTTAATTTGCTTATTCCTACACTTTGCTGCAACTAACCACAGCTCCGCCATTTTCTGCTCATGCAATTGTTTTTCTGATGGCAACTTTTTGGATTTAAGTCCTAAACTAACTTTCATCACCAGTGTTTCACACTCTTTCAGTGTTAGTTTACCTTCAAACCCATACTTCTTCTTCCAGTTTTTTAAATACTTAACTGATTCAGGATTTTTTCTCTGCATAAACTTAGGATCTCCTTTCAGATCCACAGTTTTAGTACAAGATGAACCCATATTTACTCTTTAGTAAATTACTTAGATATCTTCTTCAACTTCTATTTAATAACTATTGCTTATACAACAGTGGATATTAATTACACATTTGTAAACGATCTTAGTGGAATGCCTCACGGGCCAAATCACTTCCTCGAGAAACAAGCTTCTAGATAAAACTTAATGTTTCATCTGGTTTCTCCCGGGTGTTTAATCACAAGGAATGTAATTGTTTTAGACCACTTTCACGATTACTTAAAACATAATGAGATGCAATTCAACTCTACTTCACCAAGCCGACAACTTTTTGTTATCACCGCAAGGTTTCTGGTTGTCCGGTGCTTCGAGTATAGATTGACCTCCTTTCACACACACATTCACACAGACGTCTTTAAATCAAAATGAACTCCGTTCACTTTTAACTGCAGTAAAAAGTAGTCCCCGACTTACTCTGAATAATAACCCCGTTATTATTACAGTCTATGATAGTTACAGACTATCTAAAAGAATAACCTGTTGTTATTCCGGGCTCCCCCTCTGACTGTCTTTAATAGCTCTCTGACTATTAGAAGAATAAACCTCGTTATTCCAGGCCTAAGAAATAGCTCCTCGACTATTAAAAAGGATAAACCTCGTTATCCCCGGCCTCTTTTTTGAGTCAAAAGTAAATTGACTTCAAAAGTAAATTCACACTTGCCTGTTATCGCGATGTCCGTGGCTTTTGTGTCTTCAATCCGATGTTCGAAGCTGATCAAACCCCACAAAGAGACTGTTACTGCAGTTGTTTTTCGACCTGCAACCTCCAAGCCACGCTGCTGTTTCAGATCTCCAGTAGGACGACGGTCAGCTCCAAAAAATGATGTTTTGACATCCGGCTCAAGAAGGACCAAAATATGTTAACGCTGGTTCAGCCACGGTTTCTCCTTCGATGAAAAATGGACCACAAATTCTGCTTAGATATATAAAAAAGGTTTAATATATAAAAGACAGAATATAAGATACAGACAAGTGGCAGACTGCTTGATCAGTCTGGGCCCTGCTCCCTGGCACACCCAAAGCAAAAGACACTACTTCAAGACAGGCTATCGATGAAAAGCACACAGTCACATGACCTGATAATTGAAAACACATGTCTCACCATCCTTAGGTGAACACAATAGCTCCTTTCTCCAAAACACACAAATAGCCCCTCTCAAAGTAAGCCTGAGGCTATAACAGATGTTCTCTGCACTCCTCTTAATTTAACTTCCTGTGTATAATAGCTGGGGGTGGGTTGGTTCCACACATTCTTCACCCTGCCTGGATCAATACTACTAGTCTAACGTTACATTTATTAATATGATAATAACACAATAACATACTCCATTGACACTGGCAAAAGAAGAAAAAAGGGTGACTCTTTTGCTCCGTGTAACTCTTTGCATTAGGCCTGTTGCTGTTTCCTCTGCTGTCTGCACACGGCCCTGCAGTCCCTTATATGGGCATTAGTGGGCGGTTACCTATGCTAAGTACCTATGCTAATGAAGCACCTGGCACGCGCGCTCTACTTACGAGGAAATGGCATTCATCAATCTAAGAGAACAGCTGCGAACAATTCAGCACCTTACGAGCGCGTTGATGAATCCCACGTAGGGTCTTCTTAGAAATCTACTTAAGAACGATTTGAGAAGAAATTTAAGAAGTTTCTTACGAAGTTATTCGTGAATGAGGCCCAATGGGCCTCATTCACTTCTTAAACAGCTGAATTGTTCGCAGCTGTTCTCTTAGATTGATGAATGCCATTTCCTCGTAAGTACAGCGCGCGTGCCCGGTGCTTCATTAGCAGAGCTGGTCCCTCTCTGGTCCCTCTCTGGTCCCTCTCTGGTCTCCTCACGAGTCCATCCTATATTTGTTTTGTAAACCGAGGCTATTGCTTATTCAGCGCTTTTTAAAAACTGTTCTATTTCCACAACAGCCTCCCACATCATTCCCTGCTCCGGGAACATGACCTTTCAAAACATTAGCTTCTTCACTTTGTTATCATTTCATCATTTCCTCTTTTAAAATCAAATGTGTTTTCTCTGTATTGTCTTCAGTGCTTTGTTGTCTGTTGTGTTCACTGGGTAATTTTGCACAAATGAAGCTAAAGCAGAGATCCAGACTCGAAGACTGGAGAAAAGTCTCTCAGCTCTCAGTCCTCCCCCTTCCATCAGTCACTCCCAGTGTTCATATCGTGCAGCAACCCACCTCCTCCCTAACCCTTCTCTCACCTCCCATCACCAGGGTCTCGGCCCCGGGGTATTTCCCTTCTGCATTCTTCACAGTGCTTTGCCAAGGTCTTAGCACCAAATCATACCGTTTTTAACAGTGGTGCGTAAAAATCTATTCTGTTTAGTATAAAGTATTACGATATTGAATTGAATATTTTTCTGTTTTCTCAAAGTTTACTGAGATTTATGTCCCTCTATGATGTCTGCTTTATGAGTCAGTTCATGAACAGAGCATAATAAATGAGTCTTATTTTCCTCCATGTTTGTAACATATTTGAACAATATGGATCACAATATATCTCAGAATCCAATCACAAAACTGTATTGCGATTTTTTAAAGATTCACAATAATATTGAAGTGTGGCCCTAATCTCACAATACCATCGAATCGTCACATTTTTTGCCAGTTCCCATTCATAGTTTTAATGTAAAACATGCAATAAATGTCCATCTTGAATAAACTGTCTGCAGAGTGAGAGATGCACTTTATGTAGTGACAGATTAATACCATTCTAACATCTTTGTGTTTGTTTGAATCAACACAAATCCAAATGTTCCAATGTGAGTTATAACTGTAAATAGCATCTGCATCTGAAGTCTGTCTGCAGTGATGTCACATGTTGTTCTGTGTTTCAGGGAAGGCAACAGTCCAGACCAGCACTCGCAGATCACCTACAGCCAGCTGCTGAGTCAGGTCTGCAGATGCTCCAACGTCCTGAAGAAACTGGGTACAAACACACACAAACACACACAACACACACACATCTATGACATCATGAGAAACAACAACACACACGTCTATGACGTCATGAGTCACGACAACACACACATCTATGACGTCATGAGAAACAACAACACACACGTCTATGACGTCATGAGTCACGACAACACACACATCTATGACGTCATGAGTCACGTCAACACACACATCTATGACGTCATGAGTCACAACAACACACACATCTATCACGTCATGAGTCACAACAACACACACATCTATCACGTCATGAGTCACAACAACACACACATCTATGACTTCATGAGTCACAACAACACACACATCTATCACGTCATGAGTCACAACAACACACACATCTATGACTTCATGAGTCACAACAACACACACATCTAGCACGTCATGAGTCACAACAACACACACATCTATCACGTCATGAGGAACAACAACACACACATCTATGACGTCATGAGTCACGACAACACACACATCTATCACGTCATGAGTCACGACAACACACACATCTATGACGTCATGAGTCACGACAACACACACATCTATGACGTCATGAGTCACAACAACACACACATCTATCACATCATGAGTCACGACAACACACACATCTCTCACGTCATGAGGAACAACAACACACACATCTATGACGTCATGAGTCACGACAACACACACATCTCTCGCGTCATGAGGAACAACAACACACACATCTCTCACGTCATGAGGAACAACAACACACACATCTATGACGTCATGAGTCACAACAATACACACATCTATCACGTCATGAGGAACAACAACACACACATCTATGACGTCATGAGTCACAACACACACGTCTATGACGTCATGAGTCACAACAACACACACATCTCTCACGTCATGAGGAACAACAACACACACATCTATGACGTCATGAGTCACAACAACACACACATCTCTTGCGTCACGAGGAACAACAACACACACATCTATGACGTCATGAGTCACGTCAACACACACATCTATCACGTCATGAGTCACGACAACACACGTCTATGACGTCATGAGTCACAACAACACACGCCTATGACGTCATGAGTCACAACAACACACGTCTATGACGTCATGAGTCACAACAACACACATCTATGACGTCATGAGTCACGACAACACACACATCTATGACGTCATGAGTCACAACACACACGTCTATGACGTCATGAGTCACAACAACACACACATCTCTCACGTCATGAGGGAACAACAACACACACATCTATGACGTCATGAGTCACAACAACACACACATCTCTCGCGTCACGAGGAACAACAACACACACATCTAGCACGTCATGAGGAACAACAACACACACATCTATCACGTCATGAGTCACGTCAACACACACATCTATGACGTCATGAGTCACGACAACACACACATCTATCACGTCATGAGGAACAACAACACACACATCTATCACGTCATGAGTCACGTCAAAACACACATCTATGACGTCATGAGTCACGACAACACACACATCTATGACGTCATGAGTCACGACAACACACACATCTATGACGTCATGAGGAACAACAACACACACATCTATGACGTCATGAGTCACGACAACACACACATCTATGACGTCATGAGTCACGACAACACACACATCTCTCAAGTCATGAGGAACAACAACACACACATCTATGACGTCATGAGTCACAACACACACGTCTATGACGTCATGAGTCACGACAACAACACACATCTCTCACGTCATGAGGAACAACAACAACACACACATCTCTCACGTCATGAGGAACAACAACACACACATCTATGACGTCATGAGTCACAACAACACACACATCTATCACGTCATGAGTCACAACAACACACACATCTCTCACGTCATGAGTCACAACAAACACACACATCTCTCACGTCATGAGGAACAACAACACACACATCTATCACGTCATGAGGAACAACAACACACACATCTATGACGTCATGAGTCACAACAACAACACACATCTCTCACGTCATGAGGAACAACAACAACACACACATCTATCACGTCATGAGTCACAACAACACACACATCTATCACGTCATGAGTCACAACAACACACACATCTCTCACGTCATGAGGAACAACAACACACACATCTATCACGTCATGAGGAACAACAACACACACATCTATGACGTCATGAGTCACGTCAAAACACACATCTATGACGTCATGAGTCACGACAACACACACATCTATGACGTCATGAGTCACAACAACACACGTCTATGACGTCATGAGTCACAACAACACACATCTATGACGTCATGAGTCACGACAACACACACATCTATGACGTCATGAGTCACAACACACACGTCTATGACGTCATGAGTCACAACAACACACACATCTCTCACGTCATGAGGAACAACAACACACACATCTATGACGTCATGAGTCACAACAACACACACATCTCTCGCGTCACGAGGAACAACAACACACACATCTAGCACGTCATGAGGAACAACAACACACACATCTATCACGTCATGAGTCACGTCAACACACACATCTATGACGTCATGAGTCACGACAACACACACATCTATCACGTCATGAGGAACAACAACACACACATCTATCACGTCATGAGTCACGTCAAAACACACATCTATGACGTCATGAGTCACGACAACACACACATCTATGACGTCATGAGTCACGACAACACACACATCTATGACGTCATGAGGAACAACAACACACACATCTATGACGTCATGAGTCACGACAACACACACATCTATGACGTCATGAGTCACGACAACACACACATCTCTCAAGTCATGAGGAACAACAACACACACATCTATGACGTCATGAGTCACAACACACACGTCTATGACGTCATGAGTCACGACAACAACACACATCTCTCACGTCATGAGGAACAACAACAACACACACATCTCTCACGTCATGAGGAACAACAACACACACATCTATGACGTCATGAGTCACAACAACACACACATCTATCACGTCATGAGTCACAACAACACACACATCTCTCACGTCATGAGTCACAACAACACACACATCTCTCACGTCATGAGGAACAACAACACACACATCTATCACGTCATGAGGAACAACAACACACACATCTATGACGTCATGAGTCACAACAACAACACACATCTCTCACGTCATGAGGAACAACAACAACACACACATCTATCACGTCATGAGTCACAACAACACACACATCTATCACGTCATGAGTCACAACAACACACACATCTCTCACGTCATGAGGAACAACAACACACACATCTATCACGTCATGAGGAACAACAACACACACATCTATGACGTCATGAGTCACGTCAAAACACACATCTATGACGTCATGAGTCACGACAACACACACATCTATGACGTCATGAGTCACGACAACAACACACATCTCTCACGTCATGAGGAACAACAACAACACACACATCTATGACGTCATGAGTCACAACAACACACACATCTCTCACGTCATGAGGAACAACAACACACACATCTATGACGTCATGAGTCACGTCAAAACACACATCTATGACGTCATGAGTCACGACAACACACACATCTATGACGTCATGAGTCACGACAACAACACACATCTCTCACGTCATGAGGAACAACAACAACACACACATCTATGACGTCATGAGTCACAACAACACACACATCTCTCACGTCATGAGGAACAACAACACACACATCTATGACGTCATGAGGAACAACAACACACACATCTATGACGTCATGAGTCACGACAACACACACATCTATGACGTCATGAGTCACGACAACACACACATCTCTCACGTCATGAGGAACAACAACACACACATCTATGACGTCATGAGTCACAACACACACGTCTATGACGTCATGAGTCACGACAACAACACACATCTCTCACGTCATGAGGAACAACAACAACACACACATCTATGACGTCATGAGTCACAACAACACACACATTTCTCACGTCATGAGGAACAACAACACACACATCTATGACGTCATGAGTCACGACAACACACACATCTCTCACGTCATGAGGAACAACAACACACACATCTATGACATCATGAGTCACAACACACACATCTATGACGTCATGAGTCACGACAACACACACATCTATGACGTCATGAGTCACGACAACACACACATCTCTCACGTCATGAGGAACAACAACAACACACACATCTATGACGTCATGAGTCACAACACACACGTCTATGACGTCATGAGTCACGACAACAACACACATCTCTCACGTCATGAGGAACAACAACAACACACACATCTATGACGTCATGAGTCACAACAACACACACATTTCTCACGTCATGAGGAACAACAACACACACATCTATGACGTCATGAGTCACAACAACAACACACATCTCTCACGTCATGAGGAACAACAACAACACACACATCTATCACGTCATGAGTCACAACAACACACACATCTCTCACGTCATGAGGAACAACAACACACACATCTATGACGTCATGAGTCACGACAACAACACACATCTCTCACGTCATGAGGAACAACAACAACACACACATCTATGACGTCATGAGTCACAACAACACACACATCTATGACGTCATGAGTCACGACAACAACACATCTATCACATCATGAGGAACAACAACACACACATCTCTCACGTCATGAGGAACAACAACAACACACACATCTATGACGTCATGAGTCACAACAACACACACATCTCTCACGTCATGAGGAACAACAACACACACATCTATGACGTCATGAGACTAGTTGTTTAAGTCTTACAGCGGCACGACCTTTGACAGGAACCAGAAGCCGCGATGACATCACCCCAATTCAGGCGCCGTTGCACTGGTTCATTTTAGAATGTATTATAAGATATTATTGTTTGTTTTTAAAGCTTTGAACAGACCGGCCCCTCCTTACATCTAGGACCTCATACAAATTTACCACCCGCCCCCCGCGCTGAGGTCCGAGGGCCAGTTCCAGCTCGTGATGCACCAGAGTTAACCCCACCGCCCTAAAAACGCCGTGTTCTTTGGTTGTGAACAAACTGTTGTGTAGCTCAGAGCTCTTCCCAGAAAACAATTTATGGTGTGTTATAAATTGTGTTGTATCTCGTCACCTCTTAAAATAGCCCCTGTTGATGTGTGTGTGTGTCTCTGTCTGTATGCATGTGTGTGTGTGTGTCTCTGTCTGTATGCATGTGTGTGTGTCTCTCTGTCTGTATGTGTGTGTGTCTCTCTGTCTGTATGTGTGTGTGTGTGTGTGTGTGTGTGTGTGTCTCTGTCTGTCTGTGTGTATGTGTGTGTGTTGCAGGAGTGAAGAAGGGAGACCGTGTGTCCATCTACCTCCCCATGGTCCCAGAGTTGGTGTGTTCCATGTTGTCGTGTGCAAGGATCGGAGCCGTTCATTCTGTGGTGGTGAGAACAAGCATAAAGCTGAGGCACCTGACTTTACTGTAACATCAATGCTACATGTCTTCTGTCCCAGGAGACTACATCTGACATTGTTTCAGATCTGCTTTTTCAGACAGAAAAGTGAAAAACAGAGGACAACCCTCTCTCAGCCAATCAGCTCTCAGCCAATCAGCTCTGAGCCCAAACAGTAAAACAGGAACTCACAGAGATCGTGAAAAAGGATGAAAAGTACAACATGCCTGTTGTGGTTTCATTTGGTCACAGATTTCTACTTGTGTGTGTGCGTGTGTGCGCGTGTGTGTGTGTTTCTGCATTCATATGTACATGTCTAGTGTACGTGTGTCTGTGTATAAAGATAGGCAGGTACTTTATTGATCCTGTACGTGTGTGTGTGTGTTTGTGTGTGTGCCTGCATGCATGTAGATGTGTATATGTGTATTGTGAGTAGATGCGTGTGTGTGTGTGTGTATAGGTGTGTGTGTGTGTCTGCCTGCATATGTACATGTCTAGTGTACGTGTTTGTGTGTACACTTGTGTGTGTGTCTGTCTGTGTACGTATGTGTGTGCACTTTTACAATAGTCTTTCTGTGAGAAAAACTTAGGTTCCCCAGCTTTAAGATCCCCATACAACACAATAAACAAACACGCCCCGTACAAAGGACTTTATAACATAATTGTTTCACCAACAACATATATAAGTGTGTGTGTGTGTGTGTAATTTCATGTTTGTGTGTGTGTGTGTGTGTTTCAGTTCGCCGGTTTCTCCTCTGAGTCTCTGTGTGAGCGGATCATCGATGCCCAGAGCTCAGTCCTGATCACAGCAGGTCGGGTACATGGATTCTAACACTTTGTCAAAACTCTTTCATTCTTTGTTATCGTATTTGAGCGAGAAAATTAGAAAGTGTTTGTAAAGTGTCAAAAAGCAGAAAACAACAAAATAGCAACCCTCATGTAAAGATACGAGTAGTTTATAATAGAATTGTTTTGATGAAGCGAATTGAGTTTAAATCCATCCATTCAACTGTCGCCTGTTTATAGATGGACAATGCTAACCCGCTAGCTCAAAAGGGAAGTGCTCATGGACAAAGTTTTGCTCCAACTTTCTCTGACTCCTTTTGATTTACATGTAAAAGTTTATGATCCTGTCTTTCATTCATTCAATCATTCATTCCATCTTAGCAACACGTCTCCCCCTGTCACGGAGCAAAGCTAACACCGTCAGAGCTAATGCACATATGAGAAAATTGGCTCCAGCTAGCTTATTTTTGGCCTCTTCTTCATTAAGGCTAACGCTATGGTGATGTCACACTCAGTCAGTCCACACAAGCACATCTCATGGTTTATCTCTATATTTTATATTTAAAATTATACAGGAGTAAATCAGGTTTCACATTTGTTCTGGAGAAATTCCCAAAACTTATTTAGAGGCAATGGTTGGATGAGTGTGATATTGCTGTGATATGGCTAATAACTTTTGCATATTGGGGTTCTTTAACGGGGAAAAAACTGTGACATACGGTATTTTCCGAACAATAAAATGAATTTAGTTCTTGTACGAGCTGCACTGGATTATAAACTGCACCTGTCCCACGTTGTAATATTACAAAACTTAGCTCAGAACATGAAGTGAGTCAGCGTCTGTTCTTAATCTTCAGTGTGAAGCAGAAAAATAAGCAGTATTCTGCCCATTGAAAGTTATATCTAACACGACATGTTTTGTATTCCAGTTTTACGGTTGGTCTAAGACATGGATCTATTATAAAAACGGTCTTAGAGGACGATGGTTGAAGCCATTCTTCAACAAAAAAGAAACAAGAACAAAGTCTGTTTAGTCTTGCAAAGACAGTAGCTTGGGCCGAGGACATTATAAGGAGCAACATCCACCATAACTCTTTACTTTCATGTCTATACAAAGAACCATCCATCCATCCATTTTCTACCCTTTAATCCATTTCTGGGTCAGGGGGGTGGCAGTCAGAGATGCCACCCAAGTCTCATAGCACCAGCCCCTCACTGACCCTCTGCAGGTGGTGAGTCCACAGGAGGACGGCTGCTCTCTGACTGTGAGCATAGCCTTGATCTTTCAGTGGGGGCTTTGGGCAAAGTGGGGTTAAGTGTCTTGCCCAAGGACACAACGGCAGCAGTCATCAGTGGGAGTCGGTGGAGAAGGTGTAGAGGTGGGAAATGAACCAAGAAACAATTTATTATAAGAGATATTTACATAAAGGTATTATAAGTGAGGATTTTTAAACTGCATTTAATCTGCTATATGACAAACAAATACTTATTAAACATTTTCTTTTTCTCACTGTGACCTTTAAATAAACCGTACGTTTGTATTAGTTATGCACTAATTATCAAAGGATGATAATTATCACTTTAGTATTTTCCATGTTGACAAGGAGGAGTACAAAGAACATTTTAATTTGACCTCTGTGAGCTACTCATCAATTTTGTTTTTCTATTGTTACTCTGCAAAATGTTTTTGGCAACACAGAAAATAAAAGATAAGCCGCACCTGACTATAGGCCGCAGCAGTCAAAGTGAGGGAAAAAAAGCGACGGTTTGTAGTCTGAAATGTACGATACTCATACTCAAATATCCCAAATACTTTGTCATTTCAGACGGCGTGTATCGCGGAGAAAAACTGATCAACCTGAAGCAGATTGTGGACGAGGCTTTGGAGAAATGCAAGGAGAGGTAAGAGTGTGTCTGTTTGTGTGTGTGTGCGTTTGTGTGACCTGTGTGATCTGTGTTTGTGTGTGTGTGTGTGTGTGTGTGATCTGTTTGTGTACGTGTGTGTTTGTGATTGTGTGTGTGTGTGTGTGTGTGATCTGTATGTGTATGTGTGGTTGTGTGTGTGTGTGATCTGTTTGTGTGTGGTTGTGTGTGTCTATGCCACCCCTCCTCCTCCCAAGCAACTTCTTGCACTTTCTCCTCCCTCCTAGTAACTAAACTATATTGGTTGTTCTTCATATTTTCTTGCATTCTTCACTAAATGAAGCTGTTTCTCTGGGATCCATTTATTGACTAAATTTATTGGACTAAAATTGTGTGTTTGTGTCAGAGGGAGTTCCACTGTGACCAAGTGCCTCGTGGTCAAACATCCGGCTCTGAGGACCAAGGACGGAGCGGCCTGCAACAAGCTACAGGTCTGATTACTTTCACTTTTAAAATGGGTTTTTATATTTTTAAGGCTTCAATTAATAGACATTTTTGTCACATGGTTTTAGCTAATATTTCAATAAGACTGAAAAGTGGATGATAATATGTGCTTTAGAGTATATTCAATTCAAATTAATTCTCTATGGCTCCAAAACACAACAGCAGTCTTCTCGGAGGACTTTACAAAGTTGTTGATTTACCAACAACACATCAGAGAATCAAACAGTCAGAACACAGGAACTGCAATAATAACAAACACATTGGAGCCACTGCTCCATCACTGTCCTTTGATCCAGGACTGAGGCTGTTGACCCAGGACTGAGGCTGTTGACCCAGGACTGAGGCTGTAGATCCAGGACTGAGGCTGTAGACCCAGGACTGAGACTGTAGATCCAGGACTGAGGCTGTAGACCCAGGACTGAGGCTGTAGACCCAGGACTGAGGCTATAGATCCAGGACTGAGACTGTAGATCCAGGACTGAGGCTGTAGACCCAGGACTATCTATGACATGTGGCCTGTGATCAGGGATGATACTCACTAGCATGGGTCTCCCTGGGCCAGGTGGTGCATGCTCACAAAAGTGTGCGACATCACAGCTGCTCGTCGCAGGTTTTGAGTGTGTGTTTGTGTGAGTGTGTTTGTGTGAGTGTGTTTGTGTTAGTGTGTTTCTGTGAGTGTGTGTTTGTGTGTGTGTTTGTGTGAGTGTGTTTGTGTGAGTGTGTGAGTGTGTTTTTGTGTGTTTGTGTGAGTGTGTGTGTGTTTATTAGCACTGTGTGGCTATTATTGTTATTACTGTTACTCCTATTACCATTATTACTATATTATTACTATTGTAGAGAACAGCCGCGATCGCACCTGTAACCCCAGATATTATTCTTATTACTGTAACCCCAGTTATTATTCTTATTACTGTAACCCCAGTTATTATTCTTATTACTGTAACCCCAGATATTATTCTTATTACTGTAACCCCAGTTATTATTCTTATTACTGTAACCCCAGTTATTATTCTTATTACTGTAACCCCAGTTATTATTCTTATTACTGTAACCCCAGTTATTATTCTTATTACTGTAACCCCAGTTATTATTCTTATTACTGTAACCCCAGATATTATTCTTATTACTGTAACCCCAGTTACAGGTTATTTACGAGTCCTTCCAGATGAACAAAGGCAGACAGAACTTTGAATATGATGTGTGTCAATGTGGATGAGAACAGAGACGTCATCACTTAGATATTATTGACGCATTAATGACTAGTAGCAATGTGGGTTAGAACAAATACCTTCAGATAATTATGTTTAGCAGTAATACAGTAATTACAGAGCTCCAAAGTCCAACACGTATAGATTCCACACTATAAATGACTATTATTATTGCTGGTCAGAGGAATAGTATTTTTTCTTTAATAGAGCCTGGTCATCAAATCAAAACAAATGTATTTATATAGCACATTACTAACAACTGTTGTTGACAAAAGAGCTTCACAAAAAGGTGCACAACAGGAAAATGATGAACAATATACAATATATACAATATGAGCTCAGATTTTGCCCTTGATGTGTGCCACAGTGTTTATTTCAATTTGGAGAGACGAGGAAACAAGAATGCTTTTGAGTATTTTATTGAGAGGTGGTTTGGCGCCCTAGGCCCCGGTGCGGCGTTCAGTCAGCGAGGCTCCTGCGAGAGTGCGCGCACAATCCCCCGGGACCTAGGCACTGGTGGCGGCATTTGGCAGCAGGAAAGATTGGAAGCAGATTGGAGGCAGATTGGAGGCAGGGTGAAGAGGAGGAGGAGGGGAGGCGGTGGTTGCAAGGCTTCGAGAGGCCGTGAAGTGGGAGTTTCTCCGCTTTTAAGCGGCTGCCTGTCCGGCACGGATGATTGGAAGGGGGCGTTTGCCGTGCGATAGGCTGGGGATGAGAGGCCGGCCTGGAGGGGGTAGCTTTGGCTGACGTCTTCCAAATTGAATTTCCGCGAGCTGCATTTCAATTTGGAGAGACGAGGAAACAAGAATGCTTTTGAGTATTTTATTGAGAGGTGGTTTGGCGCCCTAGGCCCCGGTGCGGCCTTCAGATCGGAGAGGCTCCTGCGATGGAGCGCGCACAATCCCCAAAAAGGCTGTGTGTTGATGGAGTTTTGCAGGCCTGGTTGCAGGGGACAGACGTCGTGACCGCTATATACTGTGACCGCTATATACTGTGACCGCTATCGCTATATACTGTGACCGCTATCGCTATATACTGTGACCGCTATCGCTATATACTGTGAGCGCTATATACTGTGACCGCCATCGCTATATACTGTGACCGCTATCGCTATATACTGTGACCGCTATCGCTATATACTGTGACCGCTATATACTGTGACCGCCATCGCTATATACTGTGACCGCTATCGCTATATACTGTGACCGCTATCGCTATATACTGTGACCGCTATCGCTATATACTGTGACCGCTATCGCTATATACTGTGACCGCTATCGCTATATACTGTGACCGCTATATACTGTGACCGCTATATACTGTGACCGCTATCTATAGATGCTCAGCTGCTGCCGCCACCAGGAAGTTTTTGCGAGTGTTTTATGGAGATGCCAAGAGAAGCTGGGCTGCCAGAATAGTCGAAGTGTCCGGCCTGATGTATGAGGAGAGGGCCGAAGATGACCAGCGCCCCAGCTGCTGAGGCAGAATGGGGAGACCCAGGGAAGCGGCGCGCGTGGCAGCGCCTATCCGAACGAGTGAGCTGTGTAGAGATGAGGGGACAAGTTACAAGCAGCAGAACAGACTTGAGTTGGGCTCTGAACCAGTTGATGTCATGGGGAGGTTATCGGGAGTGAGGAAGCGGTCCGTTGAGATCTCCTTTCCGAGAGCGGAGGCGAGTGTAATGCATCATGGATCTGTAGGGACAGGGAGAAGTGTCAGAACGAGCTATGACTATGTTGCAAGCGCCTTGGCGTTTGGAATGCTTGAGGTGGAGGTTGAAGTAGTCGGGATAATAAGACAGGTCAGAGAAGGCAATGTCTCGGGATGCATTAAAGGTGGCGTGAGAGTTTGTGAATTCGCTTATGCGTAAGAAGCCCATTTTCATGTAGGATGCAGCGGAGGAGAGAAGGTGAAGAGACGGAGGGACTAGACCAGGGCGAGGGATTCCGTGCAGGGGATCTGGCATGGCGATGGATTGGCAGAAGGGCAAAGGCGTCAGGACTCCTGGAATTTAAAGCGAGAGAGAGAGTCAGCAAGACGGTTAGGTGACGAGGGACGTGACGAGCAGTGATGATAAATTGTTCAGGACTGAGAGCCATGTGATGCGTCTAAGGGAGACATGATTTGGGGAGAGGATGAACGACCTCTGTTAATTATTTCAATGACGTCGAGGTTGTCGCACGTCACGGAAATCCTTTTCCTATGCCACGTATGGTTCCGCAGCACGCAGGCTACGGTCACGGGATATATCTCGTGGAGCGCGGAGGAGATGCTTCAAGGGAAAGCGTCGGGCCGGGGCCCGGCGAACCACTGGTCCTGGAAAAATCCCCAAAACCCACGGACGAGGCTGCATCCGTGAGGAACCGCGGGGCATCTGAGACAGGATGACGTCACTGTAAAAAAAAAGATACACCATCCCAGCGGCTCTGCAGACGGGACCGGAACGCCAGGTCGGAGCGGCGCCCCGCGTCCGGGCAGACAGCGTCATTGAAGGAGGAGACGGAGCCGGCGAGGGAGAGGAGTCTGGAATTAAAAGAACGACCTTGGGGAATGATACAGATGGCATAATTAAGATGCCCGAGGAGGGAGAGCAAGGACGCCTCAAAGTGACGGGAAGGACAAGGCAGACCGGGAGAAAGCGCGGATGCGTTCGAGCTTGTCCAGCGGGAGGGAGGCCTCCATGGCGCGTGTGTCGAGGCGGATGCCGAGAAACTCCAGAGCGTTGGCGGGGCCTGTGGTCTTTCCGGAGTGAAGGAATCCGAGGGCAGAGAAGGCGGGCCTGAGCTTGCGGAGAGAGCCCTCGGAGCAGTCTGAGGGTGGGTTGACTACGAGGGAATCATCGGGGAGATGCAGGACAGAGGGGAGCCGCGCGTAATTAAGCAGAAACCGACACGGCGCCTCCGAGAGATTGTTGAACGAGAAGGACTACTCCGGCAGTCAAAGGTGAGGCGCACTGCGAAGAAGAACTCCGACGCCACTTGACCCCTGAACAGCGCCAGTGGTCGGGGTGGATGGCAGCAGCTCGAACGCGTCCGGGATGACGCGTTGCGGGACACGAGACGCCGAGGGACCTAAGCAGAGCTTGCAGTCCAATGTGAGGGATTTAAATAGAGCTTGCAGTCCAAAGTGAGGTATTAAAACTGAGCCCGCAGTCCAAGTGAGGCGTTTAACTGAGAGCCTGCAGTCCGGTGTGAGGGAGTTAAACGACCTGTAGTCCAGATTGAGGGATTCAACAATGCCCGCAGTCCTAAAAGAGGGATTTATAACTGAGAGCTTGTAGTCCAAGTGAGGGATTAAACCGAGAGCTGCAGTCCAGTGTGAGGGATTTAAACAGGTTTTACGGTCCAAGTGAGGGATTAACTGAGCCCGCAGTCCAAGTGAGGAGTTTAAACTGAGAGCTTACAGTCCAGTGTGAGGGATCCAACAGAGCCTGCATTTTTTTTTTTTTTTTTTTTTTTTAATTTATATTTATTTATTTATATTTATGTATATGTATTTATATTTATTTATATTTATTTATTTATTTATTTTTATATATAAGCGTTCCAGATATAAGCAGTACCATATATGCAGTTCCATATACTGTATAACAGTTCCAGGTATAAGCAGTACCATATAAGCAGTTCCAATATGAGCAGTTCCATATATAAGCAGTTCCATATATAAGCAGTTCCATATATAAGCAGTTCCATATATAAGCAGTTCCATATATAGCAGTTCCATATATAAGCAGTTCCATATGAAGCAGTTCCAGATACGGTATACCAGTTCCAGATATAAGCAGTTCCGTGAGGGATTAAGCTGAGAGCTCGCAGTCCAATGTGAGGGATTCAATTTGGAAGCCGCAGTCCAAGAGGGATTTAAACGGGGCTTGCAGTCCAAAGAGAGGGATTTAAACAGAGCCCGTAGTCCAGAGAGGGATTTAAAGAGAGCCTGCAGGCCAAAGTGAGGGATTAAAACCGAGAGCATGCGGTCCAATGTGAGGGATTAAAACTGAGATCTTGCAGTCCAATGTGAGGGATTAAACGGGGCTTGCAGTCAGAGTGAAGGATTTAACGGAGCTTGGTTAAAGAGAGCCTGCAGACCAATGCGAGGGCTTTAAACTGAAGCCTGCCCACCAAGCGCGGGGCCAACTGAGCCTGCAGTACAAGCGCGGGGCCAACTGAGCCTGCAGAACAATGCGAGGGGAATAAACCGTGCGCAGATCTCATACTTACCCACAACGCCAGAAGACAAGGGACAACACAACGGGACCACGCCGTATCGGCACGAGGAGGCAGGGATGCGCACGGCTCCCACGCGCCGGGCCAGACCGGCCGTATGCAGCAGCAGGCCGCGACGAGACGAGCAGCGGCAAACCCGCGGAAAGAGCCCGCAAGGAGGAGAGCGGCAAGACCCACGAACCACAGCACGAGACCCGCAGCAGGTGCAGCCACAGGAGGAACAGACCACAACGCAGCAAGACGGAGGACACCAGGGACACGCACGAGTAGCGTGAGTAGACGAAAGAGATTCCTCCAGAACGATTCTTTGCAAGGCTTCGAGAGGCCGTGAAGTGGGAGTTTCTCTGCTTTTAAGCGGCTGGCCTGGCCGGTACGGATGATTGGAAGGGGGCGTTTGCTGTGCGATAGGCTGGGGATGAGAGGCCGGCCTGGAGGGGGTAGCTTTGGCTGACGTCTTCCAAATTGAATTTCCGCGAGCTGCATTTCTTTGTCATGTGTCTGAGCAGAGCCAACGGTTGATCTGCCCCAGAATCAATATCTCCAATACATAGCTACTTACTGTAGTGTATTCACTACACTAGCTACACTAGCTACACATGGCTACTTAACATGGTCATTTATTCATGTTTAGTGACTTTGGTTTGATATCTACTCTGCTGCACATGGCTAACTATTCACGTGTAGTTTGACACCAACCACTTTTATATTCAATGGATGCAGATGACAAAGACAGGAAAGCCAGAGAGTTACTGGAGGGACATCTGTGCCAAATATGGCCAGGGCCTCTACCACTTTTCCACTGGCAAACGGCCAGGGGCCAAAAAATGGAAGAAAGCCTTGGAGAGGATCGATGCTTGCCCCCTGCAGAGCAACACAAAGGATCTGTTTGGGAGAAGCCTTCAGTGCACCTGCGGGTTCCACAAGGTAGGACTCATTATTTACTTATTGATTGATTGTTTGCTGTTTCCTCTGGTGTTGATTTTCTGTGCTCTCTCCTAGCCAGCACATCTGTCATCAGGCACTGGGTCCAGTGCTGCTGGGTCCAGTGGTGCTGCTGCGTCCAGTGCTGCTGGGTCCAGTCGGGCTGGGACCAGTGGTGCTGCTGCGTCCAGTGCTGCTGGGTCCAGTCGGGCTGGGTCCAGTGCTGCTGGGTCCAGTGGTGCTGCTGCGTCCAGTGGTGCTGCTGCGTCCAGTGCTGCTGGGTCCAGTCGGGCTGGGTCCAGTGCTGCTGGGTCCAGTGGTGCTGCTGCGTCCAGTGCTGCTGGGTCCAGTCGGGCTGGGACCAGTGCTGCTGCTGGGTCTAGTGGTGCTGCTGGGTCCAGTGGTGCTGCTGCGTCCAGTGGGGCTGCTGCGTCCATCCGAGTCAGCACAGAGGAAGAGGGAGTCCGAGGAGACACAGAGGCAGGAGCATCAGCTGCAGCACCTGGAGTGCAGTGCTTCCAGTGCAAGCAGCTTGTGGATGGAGAGCACTTTTCACAGCATCTGCTTGACCATCACACGGAGGAGACCTGTGACAGCTGCGGGGCCAAGGTGCAGGGTGCTGTTGGTCTTCTGACTCACACCCAACAGGCTCATTATGCAGCACTCATGAAGCCATCCCCACAAAAACCAACTGTGTTGACACCGACACCGACACCAGCACCAACACCATCTCCAACACCATCTCCAGCACCATCACCAGCACCATCTCCGCTCCCCTCATGCAGTTCTGCCATGCCACCCCACACTCCGTTCAAAGCACCATCCATTAACTGGAAAGGCTTTCTTCCTGAGCCATTTAGGAGAGTGATCCAGGAAGCAGATCAGGTCTGGATAGCTAAGTGCCTTTATGGACCTACAGGACAATTAAAACAGAAGCTCCAAACCTCCTGGTATTACCCTCCTCTAGAGCCCAAACCATCTTCTCCTGAGCCTGGCTGGTACTGTAGACAAAGGCTGTTCATCTGGGCACCAATGAGGATGTGGGGGATTCCTCTAAAATGCCCTCAATGTTCCCGAAAGATGAACAGCTCGGGCATCTACAGGAAGGTGAAAGAGGTGATTGACGTGGATAGTCGCTACTACCTGGTGGGAGGAGACTATCCACGTTGCAACAAGTGCGCTCTGCCGGTCTGCCCATGGAGCCAGGACATCCTCTCGCAGCTGGATGTAGCCCACAGGAGCATGTTTCCCGCTGTCCTCACTACACACCTGGCTCTGGACAGGAAATGTATGACCTTCCTGAAGCCGAGGACCAGCGGAAACAGCTCCTCCTACTTCCAAGCGGCAATAGAGGAAGTGCACAGCGAGGAGTGGGCACGTCAGGCCATCCGATACCTCTCGGATTGTGAGAGCCATCAGAAGATGGCTACCTTTGTCCCCTCTGCAGCTGCCTATCCTCCTCCACTGCCCTTTAGGCCCCTTCCACTTGCTCAGTGGTTTGAGACTGTCCACTCCAACAACATCCTCAGCCATCTGCAGGAAATGAAGGGAGTCATCACTTCTACCTATGGTAGAATTCTTAAGATGGATACGACCAACACTGAGAATAAAGTTATAAAATGTTGACTTAAAAGTCGAAATATTATGATAATAAAGTCGAACTAGCAAAATTATGAGATTAATCCAAGAATATGATGAGATTAATCTCAAAATGTTATGATCTTAATTTAAAAATATATTATGTATTATTTTAAAGATGAATCTCAAAATGTTTTGAGATTAATCTCAAAATATTTTGGACCCTGGGAGGAGATCCAGCGCGGACCAGCGCTGAGACCAATGCAGACCCGAGGAGAGACTGGAGTGACCAGCACACAGAAACCAGCGCGGACCTATAGGAGAGACCGCATAGACTGGAGTGACCTGACTGGAGAGACCGGTGCGCAGAGACCAGCGCGGACCGAAGAGAGACCGCATAGACCAGACTTGAGAGACCAGCGCGGACCCGTATGGATCCAGGAGCATGCAGCACGGACCCGTATGGAGAGACCAGTGCAGACCCGTATAGATCCATGGGAGAGACCAGTGCAGACCCGTCTAGATCCATGGGAGAGACCAGTGCAGACCCGTATAGATCCATGGGAGAGACCAGTGCAGACCCGTATAGATCCATGGGAGAGACCAGTGCAGACCCGTATAGATCCATGGGAGAGACCAGCGCAGAGACTCAGCGCGGACCCAGTAACCTCCTGCAGCAGCAGTATATATGCCGTTGTTCTGTGGCCCGTGGATAAAGAAATGCCCCCTATAAATAGGAAGGGGTCACTAATACACGGCAAGATTTCCAATGTATTTGATAAAGCGTTGGCACATTGAATTTGAAAATGAATATGAAAAATAATATGTAACCACAAAAATGAAATAATAGATTAAATACATACATCGATATGACGGACATATCACTGGAATGTTGTATTTTTATTCAACTTCACCAAAGAGGACAACCCCGGCGTGTGAACATGTCGGCACTGAATGCGTACGAGTGCTCCTGAGGACTCGTAGGATTTGTACTTGCCCAAGTGAAATTCTGGTTACGAGAAAAATTCGTGAATGCCACTTTCTTCGTAAAAACCTCGTAAGTAGGATTTACGTACAAATCTGTTCCTAAGAACCGTTCGTGAATGAGGCCCATTGTGTAGAAAGAGGCTAAGGCTGGGGATTAGCATTAGTATTTTACAGAATGTGTCAGATCTGAAAACAGTGTTTCTCTGAACCTGCTTTAACCCAGACTGAGGCATAAACCTGACATGTTGGGGCTAATCAACTCCTTTTAGACAAAAAGCAGCCAGTCTTTTGGCTCCTGCTTGACGTTCAGGCCACCCCTCCCATGACTACGCTTTGGTTCATTCTCACCTCATGGGAACCCCCGCAGTGGGAACCATCTACTGAAAGAGGAACTAGACTGGGACCATTTAGAGGAGAACGCTACAAGGTGAGTGTGTCTGAATTCATTGAGAATAACATTTGTCTTACATTGTCTTGGTTGATATGAACTCAGTCTGAATTTCACTGACTACAGGTCCACCAGTGATAGCTTTAACGTTAGCCTGTTTGTGCTTCTAGCCTAATCTAGGCCAATTCATTCCAAACAGAACATAATTGTGCTAATGTAGTAGATGAGTTCAAATCCCCTCATTATATCAGACATGTTTGGAAAACCTATGTGTCACCAGCAGCACATGTAACTGCCTGCTAGCATGTTAGCTAAGTCTAGCCCGTGCTAACGCAGCTAGCCCGCGCTAACACAGCTAGCCCGCGCTAACACAGCTAGCCCGCGCTAACACAGCTAGCCCGCGCTAACACAGCTAGCCCGTGCTAACACAGCTAGCCCGCGCTAACACAGCTAGCCCGTGCTAACACAGCTAGCCCGCGCTAACACAGCTAGCCCGCGCTAACACAGCTAGCCCGCGCTAACACAGCCAGCCCGCGCTAACACAGCCAGCCCGCGCTAACACAGCTAGCCCGCGCTAACACAGCTAGCCCGCGCTAACACAGCTAGCCCGCGCTAACACAGCTAGTCCGCGCTAACACAGCTAGCCCGCGCTAACACAGCTAGCCCGCGCTAACACAGCTAGCCCGCGCTAACACAGCTAGCCCGTGCTAACACAGCTAGCCCGCGCTAACACAGCCAGCCCGCGCTAACACAGCTAGCCCGCGCTAACACAGCTAGCCCGCGCTAACACAGCTAGCCCGCGCTAACACAGCTAGCCTGTGCTAACACAGCTAGCCCGCGCTAACACAGCCAGCCCGCGCTAACACAGCTAGCCCGCGCTAACACAGCCAGCCCGCGCTAACACAGCTAGCCCGCGCTAACACAGCTAGCCCGCGCTAACACAGCTAGCCCGCGCTAACACAGCTAGCCCGCGCTAACACAGCTAGCCCGCGCTAACACAGCTAGCCTGTGCTAACACAGCTAGCATGTGCTAACACAGCTAGCCTGTGCTAACACAGCCAGCCCGCGCTAACACAGCCAGCCCGCGCTAACACAGCTAGCCCGCGCTAACACAGCTAGCCTGTGCTAACACAGCAAGCCTGTGCTAACACAGCTAGCCCGCGCTAACACAGCTCTCCCGCGCTAACACAGCTAGCCCGCGCTAACACAGCCAGCCCGCGCTAACACAGCCAGCCCGTGCTAACACAGCTAGCCCGCGCTAACACAGCCAGCCCGTGCTAACACAGCTAGCCCGTGCTAACACAGCTCTCCCGCGCTAACACAGCTAGCCCGCGCTAACACAGCTAGCCCGCGCTAACACAGCTAGCCCACGCTAACACAGCTCTCCCGCGCTAACACAGCTCTCCCGCGCTAACACAGCTAGCCCGCGCTAACACAGCTAGCCCGCGCTAACACAGCTAGCCCGTGCTAACACAGCTCTCCCGCGCTAACACAACTAGCCCGCGCTAACACACAGCTAGCCCGCGCTAACACAGCTAGCCCGCGCTAACACAGCTAGCCCGTGCTAACACAGCTCTCCCGCGCTAACACAACTAGCCCGTGCTAACACAGCTAGCCCGCGCTAACACAGCTAGCCCGCGCTAACACAGCTAGCCCGCGCTAACACAGCTAGCCCGCGCTAACACAGCTAGCCCGCGCTAACACAGCTAGCCCGCGCTAACACAGCTAGTCCGCGCTAACACAGCTAGCCCGCGCTAACACAGCTAGCCCGCGCTAACACAGCTAGCCCGCGCTAACACAGCTAGCCCGTGCTAACACAGCTAGCCCGCGCTAACACAGCTAGCCCGCGCTAACACAGCTAGCCCGTGCTAACACAGCTAGCCTGTGCTAACACAGCTAGCCCGTGCTAACACAGCTCTCCCGCGCTAACACAGCTAGCCCGCGCTAACACAGCTAGCCCGTGCTAACACAGCTAGCCCGTGCTAACACAGCTAGCCCGTGCTAACACAGCTAGCCCGTGCTAACACAGCTAGCCCGTGCTAACACAGCTCTCCCGCGCTAACACAGCTAGCCCGTGCTAACACAGCTAGCCCGTGCTAACACAGCTAGCCCGTGCTAACACAGCTAGCCTGTGCTAACACAGCTAGCCCGTGCTAACACAGCTCTCCCGCGCTAACACAGCTAGCCCGCGCTAACACAGCTAGCCCGTGCTAACACAGCTAGCCCGTGCTAACACAGCTAGCCCGTGCTAACACAGGGAATATGTCCCTTCACAGTTAACATCAGTCATGTTCAGTTTTGTATTGGTATAATTCTCGTGATACTAAAAGGTGTATTCTCTGTACAGTGCAGTTGAGATGTATAAGAATGCATTTAGTACAAGACAACATCTACTCATTAGACACGATCCAATTGGCTTTTTTAAATGAATACATGTTTGTAAGAAAAGTGTATATTTTATTTTATTGTTTATTCTGAGTGCACCAGATTGTTTTATTTTTATTTCAAATCCCAAAACTGCTCAGGGAAAGGAATCCCCCTGACCTCACATTTGATTTGTTTGTCACTTTCAAACATGCCTTCAGTGTTTTCATGTCTGTCCTAGGCCTAAACAATCCAGAGAAAAATATTAAGCCCCAAATGTAGTTCATCAATATCTTTATCAGTCATTTCATCTATTATTGATTACAAAATAAATAGAGTATTAAGAAGAAAAGGTGTCTTCTTCAAAACGTTCCCATTGAAAGTAAAGTGGTTCTGAAGATGCTCTATAATGAATGTACTGAAGTCCTTCCAGAATGTGGTGAGAGCAGATCCAGAACAGTTTCCTCAAACACAACAGCTCACATTAACACTAACCCTTATCTATAATTATTCTTATAAAGTGTCAGACTGTACGTTTCCCTGTTTCTGTTTCTGAAGGATGTTTATTGTATCATGTCATAGTTCATATCTGTTCATAGCCACACGGACAGACAGGCTGTGAGGCTATGAAGACCAGATATGCTCAAATAAAGATGTAGATGTAAGCTCGGATATATGTGAAATCCAACCAGATTTTTTTTCTCAAGTTTAATAATTAGACAAAAGAGGACGGAAACCATCACGTCCGTTACACATTATTCAAGGGCCGTTTAATTAATTAATTAATTTTTATATTTTAACAATTCCTTTTTATATCAAGTGATTTACTGATGTTGTGTTAACCAGGTTTATCTTGTGGGATTTCCACTTTTTCAGACTCAGGACATTTCCTTTTCTGGCGTCACAGTAGAATGGTCCAATCTGAGACTGATTTGGTCGTTTAAAATGTCGCCAAAATTATATTTTTCAATCTTTCCTTTTGATTTTATCCACACTATCTCTTCAATGTGTCTGTGTTTGAAATATCTTATCTAATCCATGATAGTAATTTTAGTTTTTAAGTTATAACCTTTTAAAGTCCAGATACTTTAATTGACACTTTACTGTGAACACACTGAACTGTGTCATTTCTCACTTCTTCCACCATCAATGTCAAACACATTATAATTATTTGACGTGTCTTTGTTGTGTTTGTTGCAGATCTACAAAGTCCATCTACAGAATGGTGTTCTCCTGTGATCAGTGTGGAAAGACCTGCAGCTCTGCTTCTGATCTAAAGACCCACCACAGAAGTCACTCTGGAGGAAAA